ATTTAAAAGCCTTTTGATGTATTTCAGTGAGGACTATCGTTTGTCAGTTTTGTACGACGATCTGCCAAGCCGTTTCTTTGCAATTTGAAAAAAAGTGTTAAACTTTTCGTCCACATTTAAGCTCATCCTACCGAACCGATTTTAAAAAATCAAAAACTGTTCGAAAGATATTAGTTGGGAATGGTACTGATTGATTTTAGGTGAAAATCTACCGAGCCGTTTTCTTGTAATGAAATGTTGAAAAAAAATTTAAGTCGATTTTCATGGAACTTTTTTTGGCGATATACATCATGGTCTTATAGAACTTACTGTAATATTACGGCCTTACAACAAGTAGTTTAATTTTAAAAATTTGTCAAACTTTTCTAAAATTATTATCGTTTTTTTTTAAGTAAGATTGATGAAGTATATTATTTACACTTTTTTTTTATTAAGTCGATTATTTACACATATCGGAAAGTTCATGTAACTTGCCTCAAGGCTAAATACCAAACCAACTAGTTTAATTATTGAAGTCGGTTGATCCGTGCTCTCGAAATCGACGACGAAAATTTACATCCATTTTTTCTAAGGTGTTCTAAGTGTAAAATGTTCAGATATCAAATCAAATTTTCATATTTATGAATATCAATTTGATAATAATTTATCACACTTAATGATTTTGCCAGCTCATACAACTATAAGCATTCAATTATTCTGCCATTCTAAATAAAATTGTCATATGTTATTACAATTCATAATCAAACTGACATGTTAACCTGTTTGACTAACTATTCAGTAACCAAATTTGCTTAGTGAAATATATTCTGATGGACAATTGGTATATACTGTTATCATAGACCTTATACTACATGGACTGCTATTCGAGCGCAAAACAAGGGTCGAAAGATAGAAGAGAACTGTGATGTCACTTAGTGAACGAGCGTTGCCGGCATTAGTCGAACATTCCCGATTCATGAAATGTCATATGTCATATGTAACGTGCTTAACCTAAAAGTAAATATTCTATGCTTGATTTGCATAAACAATAGCAGATATTACATATTATATTATATATTATACATCATGATATAATATGACATTTAATCAATTGGGTGTGTTTCACGATTGTGGGCAACGCTCATTCATTAAGTGACGTCACAGTTCTCTTCTATCTTCATAAAATAAAAAACATATGAGGATTAGCAGTCCATATAGGGTGCGTTCGACTTGGACGCTTACGCGCTGTGAGCGCTCACGCTTATAAGCACGAATTTTTAGCGTTCGACTTGGCCGATAAGCGCTCAGAATCGATAACTAAATTCCGTTCGTTTTGGAAACTGTGAGCGTCAATAAGCATCAAAATGGCGGCAACTGGCGGTAACGGTAATTGTGTAAATTTTATTACTTTCTGGATCATTCAGCGGGATTATAAACAATTTAACAATTAATAAATAAATGAAATTTCGTTTGCTTGTGCTTAATACATATTAATATTAAAATTAAAATTTAAAATTATTTAAAATTAATTAAATTTAAAATTAATTAATATTAATATTAATATTAAAAAATAAATGTGATATACAACTTGGCATTTTTGCGGGATTATAAAAAAATTAACAATTAATGAATAAATAAAATTTGGTTAGCTTATGCTTAATTAATAGTAATATTAAAATTAAAATTTAAAATTATTTAATATTAATATTAAAAAATAAATGTGATATACAACTTGGCATTTTTGCGGGATTATGTAGAATTTAACAATTAATAAATAAATGAAATTTGGTCAGCTTATGCTTAATTAATAGTAATATTAAAATTGAAATTTAAAATAATTTAAAATTAATTAAATTTAAAATTAATTAATATCAATATTAATATTAAAAAATAATTGTGATCTACAGCTTGCCATTTTTGCGGAATTATAAAGAATTTGACAATTAATAAACAAATGAAATGACAGATAGTAAAAACAATTGACGCTCACGCTCACGCTGCCCTACCTCCGTGGCGTGAGCGCGTTTGAGCGCAAAATATGTGCTACGAGCATCTTACGATGGTGCTACGAGCGTACTTATGTGACACTCACAGCGCCAAGTCGAACGATGAAAGCGCGCTCACGGCGCGCTCACAGCGCGTAAGCGTCCAAGTCGAATGCACCCATAGTGTAAGGTCCATGACTGTCACTCAAAATGGATTGATATGAACCCGCAGGAGATCACTAATTCACGTCGTGTAACATATATCGCGATTTTATTGATTAGAGTTTCTGTTCGGAAAATTTTAAACTATATATTTTAAAGAGCTGAACATTCTGTTGCATTTAAATGAAATTGCAGATAATGCTAAAAATTAGGGAAAAAGTGGTAAGCATGGACTAAATGATACAGTCGTCTTGCTTCAAAATTGGCTAGTTTTATTAACATAATCACAATCCTGCCAGATGTTGACCGTCATTGTCACAGTTTTGTCACAGTAACCAATTCAAACATGCATTGCGTCTTGAAAAGTGTATTTTGAGGATGTTTTTCTCATGTATTCTGAGAACCTATTTATTTATATTCGCAATTAATCGAATTACAATCAATTAACTTATGCCAGTACTGGTGATTTTGATTAATTGATCTTTTTCGTCAATTTTGGACAAAATGACATACTTATATACTTATACAATAGATAAATGACTTAGTACTATTTCCCAAGCTTTAGAGGGCCAATTAAAGTCGGTCAATGGTGATTGGTTTTTAACTTCTATTCCAGATATGCAACATATATTTGCTAAAAACTGACCAAAAGATCTATCGGTGCAAAATTCTCTTTTTAACTTCCCGAAGGAGAAGTTTATGTTTTCATCAAAAAATCCGAATTGCTAATTTTATGTTTTCTCGACATTTCAAGCCATTCTGAATCGAATGAGACCAAATTTGGAAAAAGTATGTGTGTGTGTGTGCGTGCACAGATTTTTTGCCGTAAATCGACATTTTCTCAAAAACGGTTAGACCGATTTCAAAAATTTAAAAGCCATTCGATGTATCTCGATGAGGACTAGCGTTTCTAACTTTTGTACGACGATCGGCCGAGCCGTTTCTTTCTAAATCGCAGAAAAGTGAAAAAAATTTCGTCCAAGTTTTAGGCCGCAATTCTGAATCGATTTTAAAAATTCAAAAACTGTTCGAAACATATTGGTTGGGAATCAACCTGATTAGTTTTTGGTAGAGATCGGCCGGGCCGTTTTCTTGTAATAGAGTGTTAAAAATTTTTTTTTCGACGATTTTCATAAATTTTTTTTGACGGTAGATACCATAGTCTTTTAGATCATACTAAAATATTACGGTCCTACGACAAGTAGTTTAATTTTAAAAAATCGTCAAAGTTTGCAAAAATTAGCGTCGTTTTTCTGACGTTTGTCAAAATTAGAACTTTCATCGACGTTTGCTCAAAAACGCTTGAACCGATTGCATAAATTTAACAGCCAATCGATGTATTTTAATGTGGATTATCTTTTCTCAGTTTTGTGCAGCGATCGGCCGAGCCGTTTCTTTGTAATATGAAAAGTAGTGTTAAACTTTTCGTCCACAATTAAGCTCATACTACCGAATTGATTTTAAAAAATCAAAAACTGTTCGAAAGATATAAGTTGGGAATGATACTGATTAGTTTTAGCTGAAAATCTACCGAGCCGTTTTCTTGTAATTAACTGTTGAAAAAAAAATTTAAGCCGATTTTTATGGAACATTTTTTTTGCTGTATATCATGGTCTTATAGAACTTAATGAAATATTACGGCCTTACGACAAGTAGTTTAATTTTGAAAATTCATCAAAATTTGAGAAAATGAGTAGTATTTTGATGTTTGTTAAAATTAAAATTGGATGATCTACTCGGTATAACAATAGAGTACTTGGTCTTAATCAGCATACTATACCATTAAAGTCCTGCGGAAACTGGTTGAAATATAAAAATTGTTGATTTTTGAAAATTTGCTTTTAGAAAATAATCCGAGTTAACATGTTCGTTCGTTTTTAATTATGGGTAATAAATCCACTCGGAATACTTTTAATCACTCATAAATTGATTTATTTTTTATTGATTAAGTCGATTATTTACACATATCGGGAAGTTCATGTAACTCGCCTCAAGGCTAAATACCAAACCAACTCGTTTTGTTCTGAGCCCGGCGAAGATTAGTTACGATGTATGACTTGTTCGCTTTGAATTCATGCTTAATGTGTAAATTTTTAAAAATATTTAAAAAAAAAACAAATTAATGCTCCAATTTGTATAAAATTTCTATCAACTAATGTATTCTAAACATCCCACTCACAAGCTCTCACTCTTTCGAATGAATATGTATGATTCTGTAATCAAATCTAAAACATTACTATTTATAAAGCTGATAATTTTGATAAATAAAACTACCATTTTTAAATAATTTATTCAATATTTATGAACAATTTGAAATTACTTTCTTATATCCGTTGAGTGTACTTTAAAACAAGTTCACTTCACAGTTCAATATGATAATAGTTTTGTACTTGAAACTTAATTAAACAAAACATTTGATATGGGCTTTTTTACAAATTTTATGCTAGATTTCTTATGATATAAAAAGTGAACATGAATTTAGATTTTACAACAAAAATGACAAATATCTGGTCTACATTAACCCTTTCCACTCTCGAAATACGAGATTTATATGTATTTTGCCGTCGAAGTGGCGGCATCCGAGTGGAAAGGGTGAAAAATAATTAAATTGTCTTAGTAATGCAATAATGTTTCATCTTGGAAGAAAACATATGAAAAATCAATCAAGGTCTTTCATGATGTCTACAAATGAGAAATTCTGATCAAATGCATGACAACTAATATGGAAAACTGTTAACATTTGCAACTTTTCTGAATTCAATTTTCAAGAAAATTAGTTGACGCCTAAATCAAAAATATATTGATGATTGTTATGATATACTTTTATGAATACTGATTCTTCTTAAAAAAAATTAAAAAAACTTATTAACTAATTTACTTCTGCTGCTGTGGTACATCAGCGATGATGTTGGACCAGAAAGTTCCGTAATCCTTTAATACAGTTCCTCTGCAAAAATAAAGTCAAAATTTAGTAATTTAGTAATCATTATATTTAGCATACTATGATAAAATTTACGGACTGATCCTGCCACATAACATAAAAATGTTATGGCAAGGCCAAGTTACGCTCCAATTTTTATGCATTATGCTACTGAATCATACTGAATACTGTCAAAATGTCATGTATTTGCTGTGCATTCAGGCGTTTTGCACATAAACTGCAACGTCACTAGTATGTTATAAAGCTGGGTCAGAAAGACCATGTTCTCTAACATCGTTTTTTTTGACATTTATGCGATTTCTAGTTTAGGATTCCTATCTGACAACCTAAGAAATACGCCTGACTGCATACCAACCACTTTGTTTTTTTCAATATTTTGTATGGAAAGTTCTTCATAACATGGCCTTGCCATAACATTTTTCTGTTATGCGGCAGATTCGGTCTCTCAATAAGTAATTTAATAAATTCATACTTTTTGTTTTGCTAAAAGTTAATTCTAATATTTGTTATTTTAGTATCATTAATTTGCATTCTATAATTGTTAGCAAATAGTAACATGCATAGTTGAAGGTATTCCATGGCAAAATGGTTAAGCGCACTGCCTTGTGCGGATGAGGTCGTGACTTTGAATCCTTGCTCTGGATAACCTGATATCATGAAGTAATGATATCAATTTTTAAACAAAAATACGTTTTCAAATGAAAATAGACCATTTTGCGCACTGCGATGTGTAATGGCAATGAAAAATCTCCAATACTATTGTTTCCTGAAACGAGTTGGAGTTTGACTCAGATCAAGGTCATACCCTTTGGCAGTACTACACCTAGACACTATTAGAATATGATAATAGACGGTTCTTTCTCCCGATTTTTACATTCAGAAGGGATAGTTAAAGGGTCCTACACTCAGACGTGAGGGCGCTGCTATCGGCATTCAAAGTAATGGCGCGAAATTTGAAATGAAAATTAATGGATTTTAATAATCGGGTATTTGAAACTAAATTTGTCAATACAATCGTATTATCTTTTGTAATAATACAAAACTTATTTGCTACTGTACAAGATGGAATTTAAATAAAAATAAATACATCATATAACAATTTTGAATAATGTTTATTAGTAATATGGTAACACTCGTGATGCACACATTTACTAGTCTCAATCATTATAGACATTTTGTCATTGTAATTAGCATTTAGAAATAAACCTTCATTAGAGAAATGGAGTAAATGCTGATTAATAACTTCTATAATATTCGTTCACACAGTGGATTATGTTAAACAACGCTTAAACAAATATTGTTTTCGCGACTATACTCATCATGTAATAATTGTGTTTGAAGTAACATACATTCATTGACTTATGGTATTTTTTTTACTTTTTCGCTGGCCATATAATCTCATTCTTTGAACAGCTGTAATATCTATCTTGCCTAAAATATTTTTCATTTTAATAACTTCAAAAATTTATAGAAACTACGAATAATATAGAAATAATTTTTAATCAATAAAATTACGGTTAGTACACGTCACAAAAATTTAATTTGTTTTATTATTTTCAAATAGCAGGGCAAAATATTCTTCTGATTCAGGCATTTTCCATTAAATCAAGATTTGTGCTACGATGTAACTTTAACATGTTAATTTATCTATGTCGATTTCCTTGTTGATATCGGTACGCAGGCAACGTTGATGCCGGTACGCATACAACGACAGATTTCTATTCACATACACGACGACTAATTACTAATCGACCCTTATTGAAATGATTTCATCGAAAGCGAATGACTCACAGTTCGGGCGTAACGCTATTTCAGTTGCATTTGTACAAATTTACACCCTAGTCGCACCTAAAGAAGTTTTACTTCAGTAAACATCACATATAACCTACTGGAATAACTTCTACACTTTTTTAACATATTAATATAAATATTTAGTCAAATTTAGTGAATAATGCATTATAGTGCTAGTTCATTACATCGTCCGTCATTCTTAACTCTTATTAACCAATAATCATCTCGTGCAAAATTTGACAATCCTAAGCAAATTATTTTCTTCCAAGTATATTCAGATCCGTGTGAAGTGGTGATCTAATTTTAAACAGCTCAAAGATTTCTAAATATTTTATCTTTCTTGTAGAAGCTCATAATGATTTCTTACATAATTTCCTACAACTGGTCAAGAAAGGAAAGTTTAAAAAAAAACAGGAAAGACCTTAAAGTGTAATATGATCTACGAATCGTAATCTGTCAAAATGCACCACGTAGTGTTTATGACCTGTCTCTGAGTTTGACGCTGCTTTATTCATATTGTCAAAGGGCTATGCCTTTGAAAGCAATTCTTAATGGAATCTTTTATAATAAATGTACAAACACAAACGAACAGAAAAATCACGATTTGTCAACTGACACAAAAATAACACTGTCTTTTCTTATTGTTAGTAATCAACAAAAAACATTTGACAATATTTTGTCATCGGCTCACTAGCGCTAAATTATTACCACTACCATAGGACCCTTAACAAATCCTTCTGAACGCAGGTTTTGTTCTGAAACAATAGACCTTGGTACTACCCATTAAGAATTGTTGTTAATTATAATATACTAGCAAACCCGACGAACTCCGTTGCGCCAGCAGATGGTTTCGTGAGAAAGATAAAAAAATTTTTTGTTTGTTTTATATTTGAAAAGGAAAAAATTGATTTTATTATACAACAGTAATGAATTTATTTCGATTACAAAAATGAAGTGTTTTTTAATTGAACTTCTCTAAGTAAATGAAAGTGAATCCGCAAATTATCCGTTTCATTGAAGTGCACTTTGGTAAACCACATTTTTTGTTTTTTGATCTGACGTTAACACAAACAAAGCGGATGGTTTTCCAACTCGTGAACAGGCAACGTATAACTGCCCATGTGAAAAACAATGATTTTCTAAATAATCTAATTGAAATTTATCCCGCAAACACTAAGCGATTGGCCTTGCGACTTGAGGCTGTCCCAGACCTTCTTATCAAACCTTTAAATTCCCATTCAAAGCCCATAGCTCTAACCACCACTCTTTGGGCCAATCACTATTTTCTACTTACGTAAAGTAAACTTGTCCAGGTTGGGCATCGTGTGGTGCTTGCCAGACCAGAGTTGCTTGTTGTTTATCTCGTGGGTCTCCGTGGGTAATAGAACTGCATTCTGGGTGAACTTTGGATCCGGGTGATTCGACCCAACTGCCAACCCAATTATTGGTGGCAGCGTCACGGGCTTGGATGAAGAATCCTCGAAATACGTCGCCGGATATAGTAACTGAAATATGAACAGAGTATAATTTACATAAGGTTTGTTGTAAATATTCTGATTGTTATCATCTAGTTGTTATTGTTAACTTTCCGAGGGTGTGGTTTATGTTTTTGTCAGAAAGTGCGAAATGCTAAATTGATGTTTACATATTAGAATGATCATTCTAAAACCTTTGAAACCTAAATTAGAATAGTGTGTGTGTGTACATATATGTATGTGTACGAGAGCTAATTTTAGTCGTTTGTCGACTTTTTCTCAAAAAACCGGTGAATCTACTTCAAAAATTCGAAAGCTATTCAATGATTTTCGATAAGAGTTTTATGTTGGTTAGTTTCTTTAAAATTACCAAAATGTCCAATTTTTTGTCTACGTTTTCGTGAAAAATACTCACTATCAGGCGATTTCAATGAAGCTATAAAGTTCCTGATCTTGGTGATAACTAACATATTAGAAAAATGCTTTATTCATGACAATTAATTGAAGTTTGGATTGATAAGCCGTACTTTAACAAAATACTTTGGGTATGTATTTGACACCTGTTTGTTTCTCAAAATTAGTTATATTTCAACAATTTGAAAAATTGGTACAAAACTGATTAATCTGCAATAGTTTCTCACATTATAATGCTCTACAGAAACTCATAAATTAATGATGATTTTTTACTGATAAGATCGACTATTTACACATGTCGAGGACAAGTTTTTGCAACTTGTCTCAAGACAAAATGCCAATTACAATTAGTTAAGTTTGAGATTAATTATTAACTTTTCTAAGGATAAGTTTTTTATTTTAGCCAGAAAATTCTATAAAACAATTATATGTGTTCTCTTTGTTTCAAGTTATTCTGAATCGTTTGACACCAAAATTGGAATGCGTATATGAGCTAAAAACTGACCTTGTCGAGGATTTTTAAAAAACGTCTGCGCCAACTTCACCATCTTCTAATTTTCTTTGATTAGTTTTACATAACAATTAGCTCAGCCATTAGCAGAAAAAAACAATTTTTTTAATCAAAATATTGAGTCAATTTTCAAAATTCTTAGTTTCTGGTAAGTATTGGTCGGGCTTTTTCTTTAAAATTGTTAATTCTCATTCATTAAGTCGATTATTTACACATATAGGGTGTTTATTCAATTACACCTAATTAATATAATTTTAATATTCTGATCTTGTAATATATGGAAATACGTTATATGTTTTTCTGACTTTCTATAATATGAAAATGTTCCATGCCAAAAAATAAGGCGAATATTGGTTTGTAGAGTTGTTCTCAAAACTCCTATTCTATCAATTTATTTTTGATATATATTTAAAAATTATTTTTGAATGTAGTTAATAATATTTTATATAGTCATTAGATATTTCAATTTATTTTGGCAATATCTGAGCATTAGGATCTAATTTTGAGAAAAACCCTCGCTTTGTTGTTTTTTCTTGGTTATTGAACAAATATTATTATTAGTAACGAAACAATAAAAATTATCTACATATTGGAGCGTGGGTTTTATTGATTTTTGTTTTATCCTTCGTATTGTTTTTCTTCGTAATATGATTGAAAATCATACGCCCATAAAATACATAATTTTGTAAATCGTTTTTTTTCATTATTTATAATTGTATTATATTAAATAAGAATTGATTGACCATCATCGGTTTTAATACTATTTTGAAGAATCAGAATTAAAGCTTTGAAATTGTATACTAAAATTAGTTTCAGCTCAATTAAGCTAGAAATTTAATGTTAAGCCTATAAAAATTTTCATTTCACATTTTCGATATGGAACACGTAAACATTTATCATGGTCTACCATCATAAAAAATAGAATAGCCAATAGTTTAACTCATAGTCGTGAATCGTGAAGTAAGTTCAAAATAAAGCATGTCGTCAATGGGCGACACCCGTACACACAACACGTGATGCGGATGTCGTCTATGGATGACACTATTAGCGAAAGGGTTAAAATTTGCTGTATATATAAATAATATAAATTATGCGCACTTTCATGTAATAAAATCTAGTTTTTACCAGAATCATGTCATAAAATAAATGTGTGAAAAATTTCTATTACCTGTTATTTGGGAACCAGGTCCATAGTGCTGGTGCGAGGCAATTACACGATAGGGTCTGGTGTGTGGTTCTTGGGGTCTGGCTGAACCATGATTAGGTTGGTTGGGTCTTGATTTGACACATGCATCTACTGGTGCACCATCCGGGAAACTAAATACTGCCGCGATGCAAACTGACACCACACAAATAACTGACACTGCTAATAAAAATACACATTATGTTCAATTTTGTATTTTTATCATTTAGAGTTGAGTTCTAAAACAAAAATTTCACTTCGATAAAAATGTTATAAATTTTCATATGTGTATTTGATATCCATACGTTTGCTAACATCACAGCCTTCTCTTGTTTTAGTAGTATATAAAACTACATTAATACTTATTGATATGAGGTACTATACTATGGTAGTATATTTTTTAATATCGAACCAAACAAAAATAAACAAAAATTACAAATATTGATTTATAGAAAATTGTTATAATGTATTAATTAATATACATTTTCTATTGGAAAATGTATTTAACGATTCTGAGATACGTTGTTAACTTTCCGAATGAATGTTTGCTTTTTTTCCGAAAAATAATTTTAAGTTATCGCGACATTTCAAATAATTCTGAATCGTTTCAGACCAAAATTGGAAAAAAGTTGACGCTTGCTTGAAAACGGCTGAACCAATTTCAAAAAAAGCCATTTGATGAAACTCGATAAGGGTCGCGTTTTACTAAAGTTGACCAGTTTTTTAAATGCATCGAGCCGTTTCTTTAGAATTAGCATGAAAGTGCAAAATATTTCTTCCACATTTTCGTAAAAATTCTGAACCGATTTTGAAAGTTTAAATTATTTGGGAATAGTGCTGATTGATTTTTGTTAAAGATCGGTAATGCCGCTTCTTCGTAATTAAATAGTGAGTTAAATCTCAACTCTTATCTCGATAATTTATACGTATCGAGAAGTTCATGCAACTGATTTTAAGGCAAAATATTACTTACATCTAGTTTTATAAATATCTATTTATTTATATAATTGAATAACAAATAGGCTTATTTATCAAAGCAGAACAAAAGACTAATAAGAATATCTTGAATAATTTCAACGTAATAGGATAGAGCGGGGCTTAAAGGTCCACGGATAAGAAGGTCCACTATCAATAACTCAAAAACAAACAAAGTATAGAATTTTTAGTGATAAGGGGATGTTCACAAGTGGCGGACACCCAAGGTTATTTATAAATAAATCAAAAAATATTTTACGGAATGTTTATTAAATTATGATTTATGATAACAAAGTTAGAAATCAAACTAAATTAACAAAACCGCAATCTTTGCTAAAAAATAATTAATGCTATCAATCAAACTTTGCTATCAAAAAATATGATTTAAAACATTTGCACCTAGTACCGGACATTTCAAAATAACCTGCATTGATCACATATATAGCCGTCTCTACGCTCTGGAATGTCTGCACATGTGTCTTTGACGAATATTCTTAGATATTGCAAAACAAACACTATTTATCCACCCTTTTGGCTGGGCCACACCGATGCTCTCAGATGGATTCATTCATCATAAGATTTTCATTCTTTGACTGGGAAATACGAAAAATGTAGGCATGTAGTGACCGTTAGCACTCATACAGAACAAAATTAAATAATTGGAATAAATTACGTAAATTCTCACAAGAAATATCAATATGTTTACTGTTCCGCACTAAGGGACGACTTAGTGTCCGGTGCTAAGGGACAGACATTTTCGTTTATTTGATAGCACCTACTAAAATTGGTTAAAGATCTAATGATATTTTATCATTTTACGGGTAACAATCAAGTACAACTTTTATCTTTGCATACCACTCAAACGTAAATGCATAAATATGCTAGAATTACTTCCATTGATATTTAGGTGACGCCGTGATTTTGCGCCTAAAACAGGAAAGGGTTGCTCTCGCCGTGGCCGTATGCATTACAGGCTAGACTTGGCGCGTGATTCTGCACCTGTGTGCTCCCTGCGCACCTTTCACTTGTATTTTGAAATTAAAAGATTTATACTCGCTTAAATAATACGTGTTAAATAGAGTGTCCGGTCCTTGGTGCCGTTCAGCGTTACGGAACTTCCCCCTACTATTTTAAAGTAGAAGACAAAAGATGTATTACTAGCTATCACCTTAATTCTTGCGAAGTAGCCATCAGAAGATAAACAGAATATATCAATATTTATACCAAAAGTGTTCTCTTCCAGTAATATTTTTTTGGTTTTGAGCTCTTGTATTAAGTTAACGATACATGAATATAAATTCTAGGTAGAGGTTATTTGTAAGATGTATTATCATTTTAAGTTAGATTCAATAGTTTTTTAGAAATACTGAATATAAAGTAAATTAAGTTAAAATGAGTTATTTCACAGGAGACAAATTAAATTAATAGTTTATTATGCCTCCTATTAATATTTTCTTCGAAAACTATATCTGGAACTAGAATTAACTGGGAATTTGACTAAACATGGTTATATAGTTGTTTGTTTGACATATGTTATGAGTTGCCATGTACTTCATTTAGATCAGGCAATATAATTACTGAAAGTTTAATTGAACCTTTGTGCCTCGTCCTACCATATATTACATATTCTTATGGATGCAAGAAAATGTGTCATGTATAATCAGAGCAATGTGTCTATAATATATTATTGTGAATAGATGGGTTTTCAATATGTGGACATTGACTATTTTAAAATAAAATAAAAATATAGATGTTCCAGAAAATATTCTATTAACTTTTATAAAAATATGAAGTGTAAGATGATGTATTTTGAAAAGAAAGTTATAAAAATGGTGAATATTGTTTGGATTTCGCAAAGCAATTCATAAGTAAACACTTATCTCTACAAAGTCAATACTTTTACATGTTAGTGAAAACTGTGAATTTATGCAAATTTGATAAGTTTGACGTAACTATATGAAATTTTGACTTTCACTAATCACATGAAGCAATTCAAATTATACTAAAATCGAATTTTGTTGAAAATTCGATTTAAAACAGAAATTAGTCAAGTTCTAAAAACTAATGTGAAGTGCTTTTAGTAATATTTGAAATATGCGGGCTAAAATTGCTAAAAAAAGTTTAATTAATATAGAAGAAATAATTTAAAATCAAAATTAGTCGTAATAAAATGTTAGCCAAAATTGTCAAAGAGTTATGAACTTATAACATTTTTATTGTTTCCATACGTTTAGACACATTGTTTTGCGTCATCTTCAGTGGACTATGTAATTGTGGTAATCCTAATTATTTCATAATTATAATTGTTCACAATGCACAATAAAAACAATTCTTGTCACTTTAAATCGGAACAATATATACATTTTTAGAATGAGTTTTTTTATTATTGAAATATAAAATTTCGAAAGATTTTTCGCATCGGACTACGGATTTGCTCTTATTGTAGATCTATAGTATTTTAGTATGTGATTTCAGACTACGATATCTATCGTTGTACAAAGCTTTACCAAAATCGTAAAACAAATTATTATTTAATTACGAAGAAACGGTCCGGCCGATCTTTACCAAAAACTAGGCAACGTGATTCCCTACCAATGTCTTTCGAATAGTTTATGAGTTTTTAAAATCACTTCTAATTTGTAGGCTAAAACTTTTTCAAAATTGTTATTATAATTTAAAATACCAAAATTTATCATAAAATTTACGTGCTATTTGTTACTCATAACTTTCCGTAGCAATAAATAATAATATTTTTTTCATAGTTAATTGCAATAACATAGAAATACATACCTTTTGGGTTCATTTTTGTCAGAATTATCCAATAAAATTCTCTATTAAAAGATTTTCTATATTTACTGAATGTCCTATTTTTTTAAAAGTTATTCACTGTTTATCACTTAATTTTTATTTCACGAACGTACTATTAACAAAATTCAGATCCTGTATTGTTTCTTCCGTTATGAGAAGATCGATGATCTATACAAGACTGACACAAGATCAGTAAAAGTTACAAAGTTAAACTTTGGTGATCGTTCTCCGACAGAATTTATGATTATTTCATAACAACACTTGAAAATAATGTTATTCAAAGTCGGATCCCCTCTTTCGTTAATTTTACGGCTGTTTAATCGAGACAGAAATTATGGTAACTTTTACTTTGGCGAAACCGAAATTAAGTTATAAGACAAAGTTTCTTTGGAGACACAATTCTTACAATAGGTGTAAGAAGAACAAAACTGTTTTAAAAGATATGTTTGAAATAATTTTTTTTTTGTAGTTATATATGTATATGGTTTAATTTTCCGAACTGAGAGCTTACATTTTTCTGTCACCTTTATTAACTTTCCGTAGGGTAAATTATTGTAATCGTCCAAAAATCGAAATTGAAAATTTTTACATTTCTTCACGGTTTGGATGTTTCTGAACATTTTGGCATACCTCAGAAAAAATTGATATGTGTGTGTGTATGTATGTATGGATACAATTTTTTGTCCTCGTTTTCGGAAGCACCTATTAATCGATTTGAATTACTCAAAAAACATTCGATTTTTATTCCTAAGGAGATGTGCTGAATATGTTTTGGCAAAGACAAATCCAGCCATTTCGGAGATACGGAGCTGAAAGTGTAAAAATGGCAGTTTTTGAGAGGACGAAGCATCCCATTTGAATGATTCAAAGAAATTTTTGTTTGTGTTGATAGTATGCAGATAGGATTAGTTTTGGGAAGGCAAAAAAACGATTTAAAAATTTCAAAAAAAAAAATCCATGCACAACTAGTTTTTACCTTCCCGTAGGGTAAGTTATAGTAATCGCAAAAAAATCGAAAATGAAAATTTTTGCATATCTTCACGTTTTTTGGCATATCTTAGAAAAAATGGATGTATGTGTGTGTGTATGTTTGGATACAATATTCCGTCCACGATCTCGGGCGCACGAATCAACCGATTTGAATAATTCAAAGAGCATTCGATTCCTATTGATAAGGAGACGTGCTGATTAGTTTTTGGCGACGGCAGGTTTACCCGTTCCGTAGATACAGAGCAAAAAGTGTCAAAAATGGTAATTCAATTTTTGAGAGAACGGAATCCCCGAATTGAATTATTTAAAAAACATGTTACTTGTATTAACGGAATGGAGTATTGATAAAATTGTTGGTAAGGCAGGTCTAGCGATTTCGGAGATACAGAAAAGTAAAAAAAAATTATATTTGGCGGTCAAAAATGGTCATTAGACATCTGCACATCAAATCAGCAGATATTTGATAAAATTTTCAAAAATAAGAACTAATTTTGTTACAATTTTGTTGGATTCCGTACCTTTAAAAGTAACTTTACCGTAACTTTAAAGTTTATTATACGGATCAAGCAAACTTCAAAATTTTCAGAAAAAAAAAATTCAGAATTTTCAAAAATATACAAAATTTTATACTTTAAATATGATTTTTTTAATTTTCTATTCAGTTTGAAAATGTATATATTTCAAATGCGTTATTCTAAACGTAAGAAATATATCTTCAGATGGATTTATTCGGCTAATGTAAACTTTCTGAAGTTTTGAGCGATAAGATCGTCATTGTATATTTTATGAACAATGAAATATAAAATTATTATAATTATATATTTGAAAATGTTAACAATTGTTATTAATCATTGATCAATATTTATTGATTACTGTTTTTTACCTCGAATATTTAATTCTGGTACGGGAAGTTCCAGCAATTTGCCTTAAGGCACAATGCCATGCACCATTAGTTCAAAATATAATTGTTCAAAGTCAAATTGGATCTTTGTGCCCCGTCTTATCCTATACTATATTACTAATAATCAAACAAAATATTATGCCTTGCACAAAAAAACTTAATCAGTCAATATCAACACAAACTTGGAAGTTAAATATTTCAATTTGTTGTCGTCGATTAATTTGTTGATATTTATTAGTAACGAAAAGCTACTTAACACTACATTATTCAAAGAAACGCAATTTTCAACATCTGCAAAATCATTATCTGTTATTAAAATTGTGGTTTGAGTGTCTAGCAATACACTGGGGCCTCGGTTTACGGCCTAGATACGTTCCGCAAAACTTGGCCGTAAAGCGAAAAGCCGTATAACGAATCAATTATTCTAATACGTATTCATACAAATTCAATGGGATCGGTTCCAAATTTAATAAATATATAATATGGTTTATAATTCAAAATGCATTTTATTTTTTTATTTTGTTTAAATTATAAACATATTTAACAAGAACATAAATTTTACATAAAATAAAAAACTTCAAAAACACTACATAATTTCCAAATAAAAATGAAACAACTAAAACCTACAGATCACTGTCACCATCATTTTGCGCTGGTGGTTTGAAAAATTTGTCTAAAGTTGTTCGTCTTGCTTTCTTGTCTATTTCTTCCTTTAGTGATAAATTCCCTTGTTCAAAATATGAAAAAGCGCTCGACATGATTTTTGATGTTAGCTGTTTGGATACAACAGGTTCTGCATCTTCATCAATTGCCGGCTCTGCTTGCAACTGAATGAGTTCCTCATATGAAAGGGGTTCCCTATCAGCTGCAAGTAGATCCAGCACATCAGATTCGTTTAAATCTTCAAAACCGAGATCATGTGCTAAATCCAATATGTTTTGTCTAACTTCAGGAAGGAAATTAACTTCTGCATCGGTAGTTTTTATACATTCTGGCCATATTTTTTTCCAAACATGGTTCATTGTTGTCGATTTCAATTCCTTCCAGGATTCACTAATGTTCTCAACAGCATCCTTAATATTATAGTTTTTCCAAAACGTTTGAACCTTTGAAACGTAAAGATATATAAAAATTTTCATTTTCGATTTTTTTGCGATTACTGTAACTTGCCCTACGGGAAGTTAAAAAAGCCGTTATAGCAAAACATTTTAGGCCGTATATCCAGTGCTGGATTTACAGTAGGGGCAATCGGGGCTACTGCCCAGGGCGGCAAATTTGGGGGGCGGCAAAATTTGGATAGTGAGAAAAAAATTCTATACAATATAATCAACTTTTTTAACAACATTTTTTATTTCAAGAAATATAATTAACAAAACATAATACGATTGCAATGCAAAATTTGAGTTGAAATAAACGATAACTAAAATTTATTATTTTGCCTTGCTTCCCTCTCCGAACGTAAATTATCAAATTGGTTAATAAGTTATCAAATTTGGCAATTTGGCTAATATAAAGACCCGTAAACAAGCTGCAAGTTTAAGAAAAATATGTTCTTCAGTTCTCGAGCCCTTTTAAAATGACGTATTTGGGCAATTCCAAGCTTATAGCGTTGAAAAAAAAATTTAAACTAGTGACTCAGGGCATTGCGCCTTAAGACAAATTACTGAAACATCCCGTACTGAAAATTAAGTGCTTTAAATTTTATTGAAAAATGAAAAAAAAGACTTTTAAAACACATTTTTTGTATTTGGAAATTTTTCGAAAATTATGAACTTTTTGCAAAGAAGAGAAGAAATATCGAAACTCAATTACCATTTTTCGTAATTAATTAATTAATTATAGAATAAATAACTGCTTAAATTTGTGGGGGGCAGGTTTAGCGGTTTCGATGATCCAATAAAAAAAATTTGAAAAAGAAACATTTGGCGGACAAAAGTGATCATAAGACATATGCACATTAAATTATCAGATATTTTAAAGATATTATAATATTAAGTATAAATTTTGTTTACATTTATATAAGTTCTGTAACATTGTTTATCCGTTAGACTGCGACGCGGCGCTTACGCGCTTCTATATTTTGTCCCACGCAGCTGAAGCAGGGTGAAAAAAAAGTTCGAAAGTTCGTAAAATTTCAGGGATGGGGCGGCATTTTTGTCAGTGCCCCGGGGCGCCAAATTTCTAAATCCGGCCCTGCGTATATCGAAAACGTTCCTTAATTAAAAAGGGCCGTTATAGCGAAAGGCCGTATAAAGAGCGGTCGTATAGCGAGACCTGGGTGTATTAGTAATATTTCCTATTTGATAATGTTGAATCGCTAATAGAGTTTAAATTACCTAAAACGAATTAAAATTAATTACTATTCTATTTTTCAATTTGTATTTGATGTGTCCATGGCCTAATATTATTTCATACAACTTTAGTGAGAGTAGATCGACTTGTGCAGAGCACAAAAACATAATTTTTATGCGTATCTGCAGTCTGTTGCTTTGTAAATTTCGTAATTTATAATTAGACATCTTGGTGGACTTAATTTCATATACTAAATATCAAAGTGCCGACGTCATTAAGAGGTAAATGACCAAGACTTTGGCCAAAATGCGGGTCAGATTGAAAAATTAATGTATTAATCCCTTCGGTAATAATTTAACCAACACTTAAATATCAACAAGTAAATAGAATTAAATAAAGTATATGATTATTAACTTCCCGTAGGGTAAGTTATTGTAATGGGCCGAAAATCGGAATTGAAAATTTTTACATTTCTCGACGTTTTGAAGGTTTCTGAACATTTTGGCATACTTCAGAAAAAATTGATGTCTGTGTGTGTGTGTGTGTATGTATGTATGGATACAAATTTTCGCCCACTTTTTCGAACGTACGGATCAACCGATTTGAATGGTTTAAAAAACATTCGATTTCTATTGATAAGGAGATGTGCTGATTAGTTTTTGGCAAAGGCAGGTCCAGCAGTTACGGAGATAAGGAGCAAAGAGTGCAGAAAATAGAAATCGAGTTTTTGAGAGAACGGAGCATCCGATTTGAATGATCTAAAAACCATTCAATTAGTAATGATTGGGAGAAGGGGTTATTAGTTTTTCGCAAAGGCAGGTCCAGCCATTTCGGAGATACAGAGCTAAATGTACAAAAAATGGCAGTTTTTGAGAGAACTAAGCGTCCGATTCAATTGATTCAAAGAACTTTCTGCTTGTCTTAACAAAATATTTGATTTTGGAAAAAAAAATTTGTTTTTTTTTTTTTTTTTAATTTTTTGTATGTCGAAAATAATTCAGATTTTATTTTTAATTGACTATAGTTCTAATATACTTTAAACAAATAATTTCAACTCTGCAATTCAGTTTATATAATTCTTATAAATATTAGACAATGTTACAATATTTAGAATAATCTATTTGAAAACATTCAATATTTCTCGAACATTTTGTTACGGTACGGGAAGTTCCAGAAATTTGCCTTAAGGCACGATGCCACCCACCCCACTAGTTTACATAATTTTTCTTAACCTTTATTATAATATAAAATTAAGTGATTTTGTTTATATTTAGATCCTTGGTCCATTTTACGCCACCCCTACTTTCCGAATATGAGCTTCCACAAACCAGACAGAACCAATCATCAAATGATAATTCTGGTTATGAAATCTTTCTCTGCTTGTATTGCTTTTTCCTTTCGTATCTTGTCTTAAACCCTACCCAAATCATCGATATGATTAGTATTCAATAATAGTGTTCAATTTGTAGCAAAATAACAAACAAATTAATCTATCTGTATACAAGTAATAGGTATAATAAAAAGAAATCGAACAAAAAAAACTTACCTTTGACTCTTTAGCAATACGCCCTACAGACTATGTTAATGTAGAGCGCTGACTCAATACAATAAAGAAAACTTGTTCAGAGAAACATATTTTGTCTTTCTCCCTTTGCAGTTTATTTTAAAATTAGTATAGTTTAAGAGTTATAACGACTGTTACTACCCTACCCTGGCACAACCGTAGTCAATTTTGCCTATATATGGTAAATTTATAATCTCATTTTTTTAGGAATCATAAGTAACTCAAAGGCCTTCATTTCGCTAGGTTGTTAAATTTTGGTCAAAACTAACAAATGCGATACTTATTTTTAGTATTGTTATGATTGTTTTAGAATATTCAAAGAATATTCTATTGGGTCGTTGAGGAAACATAAAAAGACTGCAGTTACAAAATGCAATGAATTCTGTATTCCACAGAACAAATCATGAAGTATTGATTATGAAGTATATCTGTATATAAATGATACACAGTTACACAAACCTATGTTGTGCTTGATTTCTTGTTTAGAGGGTTAAATCTGAATATCAATTCATTTTCTATTATTTATAAAAATATGCAACTTTGTAATACTTCACGTTTAGGATCAGTAAATGGATTTGTAATCTTTGACATTTGCACGAGAACAGTTGTTTCACTAGTCATGTAATTCAGATTAACATACATTCATTTACCGTTTGTTTTTTTGACTATTTTGCTGGCGATACAGTCTCATTCTTTCAGCAGCTGTGAAGTGTGTGTCTTGCGTATAACAATAATTTCTAAAAATATATAGTAAGCAAATACAAATTATTTCCATAAACTTACGTATCTTTCACTACAATTATTTACTGGTGACGGAATAAAATATTCTTCTTATCTAGACATTTTTTATCAAATTCTGATTCCCACTAAGCCTAGGAATGACATTTCTAACAATATGCTTCACGCTTTTATCGATTTTGAAGTGGACACGACAACCAATCACAATCGACCCGTATAGAATATATCGAGAACGAATTACAAATCATTGGCACTTGAGCGTAACGCTCTTCCGTTGCATTTGCACAGATTTATACCCTAGTCGCGCCTAAAGAAGTTCTACTTCACTAAGAAAAACAACTTATGATATTGAAAAGTTAATAAAGTTCGTTTCGCACTTCATCAATATCTATTAAAATATTAATTTTGGAATAAAGTACATACTTCATACACAGGTTGGCCATCGATGTAACATGACCTCAAATAATTAATGTGCATTTCAAATCGTGTTTTTTGTTCCGTTTATTATAAAACTATTATTTCATTTCTTGTTAACTATATCGCAATTCGAATATCCGGACAAACAAAACTGTAATCTACTCTTTCATAATTTATTCCAATATACAGTAAAAGCTCAAAATATTATTTGAGTATCCATTTAATAAAATAATTTGATTTTAAAGGCTATATGTATAATTTAATAATTACAATATTGTATATTTAGATGTAAGAAGTTTGGTAATCAAATAATAAATACTTGAAACATTGAATGATTTTGAATCATTTAAAACGGTTGATCCGTGTTCTCGAAATCGTCGACAAAAATTTGTATCCGCATATACATACATACATACTGCACACCTACATTCTTCCATGTTTTCTAAGGTATGCCAAAATGTTGAGAAACCTTTGAAATGTAAAGATATGCAAACATTTTCATTATCGACTTTTTTGTTATTAGTATAACTTATCCTACAGGAAGTCAATAAATTTTTAATGAATTTATATCCGACTCCAGCCTAATAGTTCAATCTTCATGTGGCATAATATATTACATTTGTTCCATTGTGTATTCTACTACATAATAAAACCATTGACAGATTTTTATAGTCAATTTGCTTATAACCAATTGTCTAACCAGTTTGGTTTTAGCCAGAGGGCAAATTTCTTCTAATTCGCTTGGGTGCAAGAACTCGACTTGATCTCATTAAAGTTAAAAGAATCAACGACCTCTGAAAACACTTTCGTAATTTTTGTAACCACAGATTTTGCAATGGGTTAAAGACTTCGAACGACCTAAATATGAGAGCACTTTCATTTTGTAAATTAAAATAACAGTCGTTATTGAAAGTATAATAATTTTCAATAAAGTTCAAACAATGATTTTGGATTAATAGGACATCATAATGCGTAAGGTGGTAAATTCAGTAGAAATATTGATTTGTTTAT